AGGCACACTTTCCACGAAGTTTAGAGTAACCAAGACTGCAACAGTGCATATGGCCAGTACTTCAAACCTTTGCAATTTTCAAGTGCTCGTTGTTGCAGTACATGTATATCATATTTTTTAAAAACACAACCACAAATTTTCAAGTTTCACTGTATATGAGAATTCATGATCCAGCATTTATGTTGAAAGCTCAAAACAAAGCAGAATATCGATAAATTTCAGCCATCGTCTGTGATCTCAAGAATGACGCAAATGAGTAATACGACTGATGATATGAGTATGTTGAGTGTAAATACGCAGCTTACGGATGTGCATAAAATTAATGAATTGGTTTGTTTTATTTATAATTAATCGATTGTTTAATGTTTATAAACTTCGTTGACGAAACTCTTATTTCTACGTTCGGCTTTCTTAGATCATTATTTGAAGTCCAAGTGTCATTCTGAATTTCGCAAGAAATGAACTCTTAAAACCGTTATGAAATTACTGGTAAAATTACTGGTAACTGTACTGGTAAAATTCAGCAACATTTCGGCCATAATCTCTGGAAACTTTGGAAATCAGCAACTTTACTATCGAAAAATTGCAAAAAAAGTTGAAATTGAAACGCGCGGCTAAGCGATATCCGTATAACGGTTTAAGAGCACCTATGACGTTTATGACGAGAAAGAAAGCATGCTGGAAAGCTGATTGCAAAATGAATATTTCAGCGAGCTGCACAACATTCATCAGCTCCTTCTTCGTCATCGTCGTGTGTCGAGAATGTCGATCCGAATAAACGAGAGGAATACGCGAAAGCGATTGATAATTATTTGGATAAAATTAATGCGAATATTAATACGAATGATAAGGTTATTATTATACCTTTTGTTGTGCATTTGATATGATCAGTACAGTTGCTATTAATTGAGCAGCGTTGATGATGATAGCTCTCCTACTGTAAAGTTTAACGCATACCGATCAAGTGAACAGAAAATTCAAACACGTAATTATACGATCCAAACTGTGCATTCAATAATGTGTGCGTGCATATTCAGCTTAATCACACAATAACGTGTGATTAAGCTGCATTTACAGTTGTCCATCTGAATTTACAGTATTGTTAATGAGTCTTTTATTTTGAAATTCGCCGGACTTGTAAGCCCTTTCTGATTGTACGTCTTCAATTTGTAAGTGAAACATTTCAATGCGATTGCCGACTCTTTCAGAAAATGTTCCGT